ATGAAACTAGACTCATAGGGCTCTAACATATCCAAAAATCAATTCTAGGTACGAAATACACAACTCATGGTGATTTTCTAAAAATCAAAGTTGCTGCCATTTCTTTATGGGTACTTGACCCCTTCACACTCTTTGTACTATAAATCCTAAAATACAAGGTAAAATGATAAAATTCCAGTTTCACATGAAACTAGACTTAAATGGATATAACATATCCAAAACACAGCCCAATATTCCATATACATGATTTATTCTAGATTTTCAAACTCTAATTAGTTTCCAAGCAACCTTGTTATCGAGCAGTCTCCAAACAAACAACAATAAATCTAGATTAGGACATGATCAAGGCCTAATTATTTTTTAAAAAAAGAACTAGACATATCAATATAAAACATATCTAAAAATCAGATCGAAATACTCAACACCTAAAGAATACCATAGTTTTAAAGTTTGCACACTAATCTGCTAGCATCGGGTCACCTAGAATAACATGTGTTCAAACCATCATAACCCGAAATATACATCACTAAATACCAAACCCTTTCACATAGATCTAGATAAGACACAAAGAAACAATTTTTATTCTTACAACTTGTTCCAAATCTGACCCTAAAGTTTCGAAATCAAGAGTGCAAAACAGAAGTTGGAGATGAACTTATCTAGATTTCCAGCTTGATCATCCGAATTTGACAAAGAAATGGGTTTTTTCCTCTCTTTCTCTCTCTCAAAACGGGAAACCAGATGGGATAAGAAGAGATAATGGTCAGGTAAGTAATCTTGATAAGATTGTGAAGATATTTTGATAAAGTTCGTTTTGGTCCCTCAAGTTTTGGCTTGTTTTTATTCTAGTCCCCCAACTTAGATTACATTCAATCGAGCCCCTATTTCTTTCTATTATTCAAAATACTTATTATCCAATATCCTAACAAGATAGAACTTTTGTGCAAAAGTTTGTATCCCTATACTCCGAGTTTTCTCTTGATTAAATAGAGATGTTACAACGGATCATATGCCTCAATTACGACAAATCATATCTCATAATTATAGCAAGTCCTATTTTAGAAAAGAAATATATTTACATAGCAAATGACAACAATAATGTGACAAGCATTACGGTTGACTATGACAGCTATCATTGACACCCCCTCTCAAATTAATGTTGGTGAGTCCAAGTAGCATCAATTTGTTAACAAAAAGCCGATGTCGAGCAAGAGTGAGAGGCTTTGTGAGGATGTAAGCAATTTGTTGATCCGTAGAGATGTGAGGAAGAGTAATAACACCGACATCGAATGCTTCTCGAATTGAATGACAATCAACCTCAATATGCTTGGTACGTTCATGATAAACGGGATTTTCTACAATTTGAATAGCATCGGTGTTATCGGCATGTAGTGCGATAGAGATTAGATTGTGGGTAACCCAATTCGGAAAGTAAACCACGTAACCAAGTAATTTCGGAACATGTTACAAACATTGCACGATATTCTACTTCGATTGAGGATTTGGAAACTCGTTCTTGCTTCTTACATTTCTAAGAGATCAATACATCACCTAAGTATACACACCAACCAGGTAGTAGAACGTCGCGTATCGGGATAACCGACCCAATCAGCATCACTATAAGCTACAAGTTGAAGGGAGGAACCATATGGAAAAAAGAGGCCACGATTGGAAGTACCTGAAGATAACGGATAATTCACTTAACTCGTCGCCAAATGTAAATGACGTGGAGAAGCCATAAACCGACTCACCAAGTTGACTACAAATGAGATATCGAGCCGAGTGATTGTCAAGTAAACTAAACTCCCAACTAGGCGTCGATATAATGTAGGATTCGATAGAAGGTCATCGTCATCTTTGCGATATTTAACGTTGATTTCCATCGGTGTATCGACTGGAGTGGAATTTTGTAAGCCTCACTAACATAATTATGTCACCGAGATACTTATGTTGATTCACAAAAATTCATTTCGTTGCTTTTGTGAATTTCCAATCCCAAAAAATAAGCAAGGGACCCAAGATCTTTCATATGAAAAGAAGTATGAAGAGAAGCTTTGAGTTGTTGAATTCCAGCGAATATCGGTTCCGGTGATGACAATATCATCGACATAAACAAGTAAAAGAACAATACCAACAGAAGTCTTTTGCAAGAATATGGAAGGATCATACTTGCTTTGCACAAAAGAGAGATGAAGAAGAGTTTGTTGAAATTTCTCAAACCAAGAGCGTGGAGCTTGTTTAAGCCCATATAAAGAGCGCTTTAAATGATAAACATCAGTAGCAGCTTATTGTCAAACCCGATGGAGGACGTATATAGATATCTTCTTTAATATCTCCATGAAGAAACGCATTTTTGACATCCATCCGATGTACTTCCCAATTCGAGAAGTCGTAATAGCCAAGATTGTACGAACAATAGTCATCTTGGCAATCGGAGCAAAAGTTTCCTCGTAATCGATCCTATATTCTTGATGATTGCCAAGTGCCACAAGTCGAGCCTTACATCGTTCAAATGAACCATCGGATTTAAGTTTGACGAGAGAATACCCATTTACAACCAATTGGAGTGATTGAAGATGGACAAGATACAATCTCCTATGTGTTCTTTTGCCACAAAGCATCAAGTTCCTCCCGAATAGCTTTCTTCCAAGCAATCAAACTTCATAGCTTCGAGTAAGATCTAGGAATAGTAATAGATGACGAGTGTTGCAGCTAAAGATGTGTGAGAACCATATCGATCAAGAGAATATCCATACCTTTTTGGTGGATGTGAGGTGCGAGTAGACCTTCGAAGTTGTGGTGAGTCAACATCGAGAACCGATGGCGGGGAAGACTGTGATGGTTGTGAGAGAGCTATATCGGGGCTGGTTGAGCGGATGACTCATGAAGAATGTCTTCGGTTTGAACCTCATTATCATTTCTCCTTGTATACATAATGCCGGGCTTAAAACGTATGATAGGAATAGAAGGATTTTACTCGGATGGATCCTCAAAAGTTGGAAGAAATGAGTGACTAGAAATGTGTGAAATGACATCATAAGAGGGAAAGAAATATATTTACATAGCAAATGACAGCAATAATATGACGAGTTACGGTTAACTATGGCAGCCTATCATTGACATACCCACTCACATGTCATATACAGGTATAATTATATGTGTGTAATTCATAAGTATGCTTGTATGCATGAACAATGTATGTTTTTGGGACGGGGTTATTACAAGTTTAACCCGGATAAACTCATATCCTAGAAAAAAGTAGGTTACAATTGATGGCTCGGACAAAAATTGATGGAAAACCGAGTTGTGATACATTTCATATCCTTGCAAAAATTGCTTATGATGTTCTAGTTGTTCCAACGAACTACCATTGCTTTTGAAGCTACATTTAGTATGGGAGGTAGCGTTATGATGATTATCGTGCATCTTTCCTTTCGGAGGTTGTGGAGGCAATAACTACTACAAGTGATTGGCTTCTAAATCGAACAAAAAAACCTATGGTATTTCATTTACTTAGCTCATTATATTTATACTCTTAATGCATTAACCAATTATTAAAAATACATGATAATATTAATAGATTTTTCTTTCTTTCTTTCTTTGTAGACGTTGATTTGTAGCACTATCATCTTGGAATTTGAATTAACAAATATTTATTTTGCTACCACGTGGACAAGAAATAAAAAAATTTTATTTTTTATTTTTTTAGTTTTATCGTATTTTTTACCTAGTTCAAGACAAACTTTTATTAAGATTATTTGATTTTGTGATTTTGAAGTGTGTGATATTTTGAATTTTTTTATAAAATTGATAGATAAAATCCGATGGAGCATAAATTAAATGTACTAAGCATAAATCTTTTACAAAAACCAAGTGATAAATTTGATGGAGCTTCGAAACTCGATCCGGATTCACATGTTTAAAATCCAATCAAATTCGTTTCATTAAATAAATCGGATCCAGATCTACTATGATCCAATTCGAGTTCAATCCGTTGACAGATCCTATACATCTATTTGAGGAGCCTAATATATATTCGAATATGAAAAAAAAAAAAAAAAAAAAAACTTGAAATGGAGTAACAAAATGCTAATTTCAAGAAGCCTTTTGAAACTTAATCCCGAAACAATTATCAACTTTTTATGATATTTAAGCATATGTGCAATGTCAATCATAATTCAATTAGAATTGGGATTAACCGCACCAAACATTGGCTTATATTTTTCCATGAAAAATTAGCAAAGAAGAAAGGGAAATAAGAAAAGAAAACTTTAAAAAGAAGGAAAAAGAAATTGTGTAGTTATGTTATGAGAAATTTTATAATACTCAAGAGTAACTAGTGACATATATAGTAATTACTCCATAAATTCACTTTGAAGATACATAACAAGAAATTTTATAACACTCAAAGAGTAATTAGTAGCATGTACGGTAGTTACTCCATGAGTCAACTTTTAAAAAAAAGATAGACACATAAAAAAATGAGAGAGAAACAAGAGAGAGAAAATTAAAAAAAAATATGCAAATTTGAAAATCTTTTTATCACTTTTGGTGGATACGGATATTATTCTTATATATATATATATATATATATATCTTTTTAAAGTGGGTTCACGAAATAATTACCGTACATGCTACTAGTTACTTCTTGAGTATTATAAAATTTCTCGTTATGTAATAATTATTCAGGAAATCTAACTTAACTAAAGGATATATTAGTAAATAGGAAAACTTTCTGTGTTATATCAACCATTAGATGTAGACAAATAAATGGCTAAAAAATCTTGTAAATATTTTTAGTTTTACACGTGTGTTATCTTCCTAAATGCCGTAGGGATAACCAAACAAGAAAACCGCTCACCCTGTAGGTAACTGCCTAAACTCCCACTATATAACCAACTCCTCCATTGTACTATTCTCTTTTTTCTTCCTTCTTCCTGCCTTTTCCCCTTCAGAAATCGATCGATCAGTCCATATCTTTATCCCTCAGGCTACGTTCAATGACTAGCAACAATGATCCTCATGACCATGATTTTTGCCTCCCATCTTCTTCCACAATCCCTAACACAAACCACCACCAGAAGCCACGTAAAAAACGAACCAAAAAATTGGTCGAGATCGAAAGCTATTTGGTTCCTTCTACGGCTACGACATTAACAGCAGCAAAAAAACCAAAATATGGTGGGAAAAAACCTGACCCTTCAGCACCGAAGATCACAAGACCTTGTAGCGAGTGTGGCAAGAAGTTTTGGTCATGGAAAGCACTCTTTGGTCACATGAGATGCCACCCTCAAAGACAATGGCGTGGCATTAATCCACCACCTAATTATCGTAGGTCCGTTTCGCCAATCCAACAGTCTACTACTTCTAATGTGGAAACCCTAATGACTGAAATGGATCATGAGGTGGCTTCATGTTTGCTGATGTTGGCTAAGAGTGACAGTGCAACCTTACTGACGTTGGAGACTGCTGAGTTTGGTGATGTTGGTGGGGTTGGTAACAATAACAGTATTTATCAAGTTCAAGATGAAGCGAATCGCCGTTTTGAGTGTTCGAGTTGCAAGAAGGTTTTTGGGTCACACCAGGCACTAGGGGGTCACAGGGCCAGCCACAAGAATGTGAAGGGTTGTTTTGCAATAACTAAGATTGATGATTGTGAGGTAATTGAGGATCATGGAGGAAGTGGTGGTGTGAAGGAGAATTTGGAGGACAATGTCAGTGAAAGCAAGCTGGTGATGGAATTAGGAGGGCGTAAGAGGTGCCATTGTGAGAAAGAGGAGGAGGCCTCAATCTCATCATCCATGAATCAGGGACTTGATTTTCTTGCAGCAGAGGAAGATCGAGGATTAGACCTCAATTTGCCTGCCCCAGTCGAAGCTAAATCATCCTCTTCTTATTCATCAAGGCTCCCTTTAGATCTGAGTTTGGGCCTTCGAAAGGAGACTAGACTTTCCGAATAAGGTTCCACACACACCCCACCCAACGCACACACCACCACCACCCCCACCACACCCCACAATATACCGGTAAATCCATCTTATATTTTGTTATTTTCATCAAAAATTGTTGTAAATTACCAACTTATCATTATTACATCAAGTTGTTGACAGGATAATAACTACATATAAAGGCTTTTTTTGTAATTTACAACAAAAAAAATTAGTAGAAATAACAAAAATATATTATGGATTTAGCAGGGCCCTATATGGATAGTACTTTTATTTTGTATCATTGACGTTTGCTGCCCCAAGATTTGGGAGGCGTATATTTATATATTGTATTTGCACTGGCAGGTATGGAAAAACAATTCACTTTTTTAATATTGCTAATAGATTACAATTTTATCTTAATGAGATTGGTAAGTGACGGCTCTTTTTTACCTCACCACGATAAAGATACCCTTATTCAAATTAACGTCATTAGAGAGAGGGAGAGATTTTCATCATGATTGATAGCTATCCTCAAATATCCTGCTTCGAAGGGATGCATGAAAACTAATAGTTGGGTATTTAATTAATGTTCATCCTATGATCGTATGCTAAAATGGTTTTTTGTAGCTCATGGATATACAGAAATTACATCAAGTACGATGGTGTTAATTTGTAAGTAAATTACTTTGAGGCACTCAACATATTCAGAATTTTAAGAGAAATATGACAGCATTATGAACGAGAATCATCCCTTTAGAACAGATGTGAGATATGATTTCAAAAGTACGGGAAGAACAGTTCCAGGAGGCAAAGCAGCAAAATAGCTAAATATAAATATTGAAAGAGTTTGTGTACGAAGGTCTACTTAATTCTTCTACTAGATATTACATCATGGACAACAAAATAATTTATTAACTCGTTCAGATGGTAACAAAAAAAAAAAAATAGAATTGCCGACGCTAAAATTAAAAGAAAACTAAAATAGCATTGATGAATTTTCTCAGCAATATGGCATTTTGAGGATTAGTGGACTCAATTAACAATTAAGACAAAATGTGAGGGCATGTTCTTCCCTTGATTTGTGATGACCTGCAAATAACTTTGCAAAGTTCTAAAGATCAAATGGATACCCTTTTTTTTCCCCCTAACCTCAAATTTCGTTCTTCTATAAGCCAGGGGTTGGTATTGAATTCTCACGCAGAGACAGTGTTACATTCTTGCCTGATGATCTTGGAACGCAACCTCTCCACGAAAGCTGGATTGGCTCTGAGTCTGTCCTTGCAATATGAGACTCGAGCTTCTTCTGCCAATTTGGTGGCTTTCCCAGCTTCTTCGATGAGTGAAAATAGGGTCCTGAGGCAGTCTTTTCTGTTTTCCTCTCGGTGTTCAAACCTGTAAAAGGCAGAAATAGAGGATGCAAGATCAGAAGCGAGCTGCACCCACAGCCTATGGAAAAAAAGAAAAAAAGACACAGCATATATATGTATATATATATTACAGAATAAAATAAAATTCTTTTTATGATAAAGTGCACATGATAAAGGACCTCTCAGGAAGTGCGCAACTTTTTTACAAAGTAGAAAGTTCTACTAAGTAGGGCAGGGATGCTGGAAGATTGAAGCAGAAGACTTTTAACATGGGCATGTTAATAACTTCTCGACAGGAATAGCAATGGCAGGAGAAAATCATAATCAGCTGATTATTGGACCAAAAAAATTTATCAATTTACAGAAGTTTCTCCACTTTAATCTCTCTCTCTCTCTCTCTCTCTCTCTCTCTCTCGTTTTTTTTTTTTCCTTTCAATTTCAAGTTTAATGGAGGATTCAAGAAAAATAAGTCACAGAAAGCAATATGAAAACAAGCACTAGACAGAATGCAGGGGACCCTATAAAATCGATATATTGAAAATCTAGCAGTCACTAAAATATATAACAAAAAAATGAAAACATGTAATTGCTCGTTGACTTTACCTCTCACTGGTGATTGTAAGTTCATCTCTTCCGGGATGGTACCGTTTTCCAACCAGTTCCCTCAACCGTCTAAATTGAGGTTTTGAAAGCCCAAGTTCTTTGACAGTAACAGACATTTTCACTTTCCGGTTTTTGGGATGCCATGCATCACCACCTGGAGAAAAGACTACCCGTGTTTGCCACCTAAGAATTGGCCCCTCACCCGGTGGGTCATCTAAGTGCTTCTTCTTGTCTGCGACAGCAGCCTCATCAAGCTGTGGTGGGACTTCAGCTTCCATTTTCTTTACATATTCCATGACAATCTCATCCTCAAATTTTTTGAACATCTCATAAGCTTCCTCAGCCTCAAGTTCTTTTCTTTCGCACATATCCCCCAGTTCATTGAATTTCTTTTCCACCTTCTTCTTTATGTCGTCTAAGAAAAACAATGAGAATTCAGAGAAATGGAATGGATGCCAAGTAAACTGAGCAATTAACATATCATGGATAGTTACAAAAACCATGCTGTAAACACCATAGACATCACCACTTAGATTTGGAAAATGACACCATTACAATTACTAAAACTATATAGCTCAAATAAATGGGTAAATACATGGAGCAAAGATGCTAAGAACGACATTGCAAGTCTTTGGGCAGAGATAGCAAGAGTTCAACCGGGAAAACTTCCAGCTTCTATGATAGGCTTTTTTTCCCCCAATATGATTGAAGTTGCAAATATTCACCACAATGTAAATTACAGCACCATATGTTAAGGAAGTCTGCTTTGAACCATAAGCATTTCAATGTCTAAAAAGTAAGGTATTTTCCAGAAAATAGATATATTTGCAGCAAAATAGTCCATATCAAAGAAAAATTATTGGACACTGATAATTCAATGATGCTTATACATTTGATCATCAACTTGTGCAATAAAACTCACACCTATTTCATCTCATTGGCAAAATCGTAATGACTCAAAGAAGAAAACGTTGCTAAAAACTGCCATTAGTGTCCACTTTGCTATTAAATCATAAGTCTAGATAGAATTTCATCTCATTGGCAAAATGGGCACGGCTCAAAGTGGTATTGTCATGAGAGGTACACCATTAACTTTGCATTCAGATGAGCAGCTGCAGTTGTTGCTGCACATAGGAGCAGCATCCCAGCTCAGAATTCTAGGCATATTACATTAGGCTAGAGAGATACTTCATATCAAAATAAAAATGCTGGCATCCTACAAATTTTATGCTGGTATACTACAAACGTTCCAAAAAAACTCAATCATACAAGTTTCAGCAAACAAGCAGATGAAACTCAACAGAAAAACATTAATAAACAAACCACCATATGATCTGTGCAACTTTAAAACATTTACATAGGAAATATCTGTTGTCCCTGCTGACAGTATCTTTCAACTTTGGGTTAAGTCAAATACAAGATAGTCCCTGCATTCTTATATGATAACAATCAGAAAAAAGTACTTGAATATGGATTGCAAAATTCAAACACAGTAAAAGAAATGTTCATGGAACAAAAGGTCAACATATCTCGTCGACTAAAGGCTTCAGAAATCACACTGCAATATTTTATTTTCTTATTGAAGTTTAAGTTATTGAGGAAAAAAAACGAGATGCTATGAATTCTAGTTCACTTCACCATGACTTCCATTTGATGAAATTCTTGAAAGACTTTCTAGCTACACTATGGATGAAAAGAAATACACTCAGTGGCCGCAGAATGAAGAAAGATAACTCTAATTGCTGAAGTCTTGGATCAGTTTGGGGGGAGATTATGGAAGTAGATTGGCAGGGGGGTGTCTGAAAGTAGGCAAGGGTGAAAAGGCTAAGGAAAGAAAAACTATAAACCATTAAAATAATGAGCTCTTAACAGCATTACTTGTAACCTTCCAACGATAGAGATTTTTTAACTAAAAAATGACAATCCAACAGCATCTAATCCCTTTTCCCAAAATATGTACTAAACGCTCATTCGTTCTGTTGTTCTGATAATTTTGTCCAATAGCAAATTTAGTACACTCTAAGCAGCTTTTTGGTTATTGGAAAGAAAAAAGTATCCAATATCCATAGCACTAGCAAAGGGAAGTTCCAATTTCAAAACAGCTCAAATATTATCATTTCATCAGTTCTCATCAGATAGTTCTCAACTCGACTCAACTACACCCCGCCCCAAATGACTAAGTTGAGCTGAGTATACCAAAATAGATCAGCGAAAATGCTGTTCTCTTTTTCTTTTTCCAAAGCAAGGATAATTATAAGAAAAAACTTATTGACAGATACAAGTACATAACTAGATCATTACCAACCAATGACTACTGCCAACAAATATGTCACCTGGTAATGTTCATGGCTATTGATTGAATCAATTAACTTATGATTGCATAAGCATGACTGACAAATAATAGCAGCATAGCACCATAAGCAATTGCAAATTAATGCATAAAATACTTAAGATTATAAGCATACCCATTCTTAGCAATAATTTCGAAGCACTCATAAATCTAATTACAAAATTCTAATCAATTAAACAGAATGAAATTATGACCGAATTGAGAAAGCATTATGCAATTGCTGGCAATTGAAACCCCCAAAATGAACAAATACAATGGCTGCAGTTTGCTGAACATAATAAAACAAATAAATTACAACCATTTCCAGCCTTCTGCAAACCCCTTTCCCTAATTTAATTCTAGGGACAGACTTTGAAAGGTTTGTTCGATCCCTTTTCTTACTGTCATGACTACAAATGAGAGAGAATTCCTATCAGACAGGTAATTTTCTGACAAAGTAAAGAAAGAAATTACTATAAAGGGACAGGCTTGCACAGATATCCCAAGGAAGAATGAAATAACAAAAAAAATGCTATAATAAAATTCAAAAGATGTAGAAAAAAGAAAGAAGCAAATGATAAACCAATATACCTGGAAGAAGCTTATCCCAGTTAAGCATATCCTCCAGAATTGCCTCACACTCCTTTGTATCCTTTATAAATCCATGGTCCATCGCCTCCTTAACCATCCCATCCCACTTCTTGTCATCCATATTGAAAAACTCATCCTTCATCATTTTCTTCACCACATGTTCTTTAGCATCATACAAATCATCAAGCTCCTTATCAGTCTCGTGTAGTTCGGCAAAACCCGACTCAAACTCTTCATCCTTCACATCATCCAAAGGCTTCATTCGAAGTTCTTCCAACAACTCTTCATCAGTCTCCTCATGCTTCCCTGATAACCTCCTCAGCAAAACTGCTTCCATTATGTCAGGCAACACTTCATCATCACCTTTGAAGTAGATATCCATCATCTCTCTTAGCTCTGCCATAAAGAAACCAGTAAATAACACATAATTGAATGGAACATTAAAAAAAAAAGTCCAATTTTGAAAACAATTTGATAAATTCATATATCTCTCAAAATTACGCACAAATTAATATGATTTCTCTCCACAAACCCCAAATTAGGATGCTATGCTATGCCATAATTAACACATTAACAAGCACAAATCTCACAAACAAAACAAAACAAAAACCATGTTTGGTTCCTGATAAAACATGGGAGAATCATCTAAAGTATTTTACAAAATCTGAATTTCTTACCTGAGGGTCCCTAACTAATTCAAACCCACAAAGAAAAAAAATGCAACCAAAAATCCAATACAATAAGAAACAAGAATAGAACCTCCATTTTCCATAACTTTCCTCGATATTTTCAGTGACCAAACAGAATATATATAAAAAAAATCACTAGAAAAAAATCCCATTATTTATTTTTTTTACCTTTATTACTCACATCCCTAACTTCAACAGAATCATCTTTCTTTGTCAGTTCTGCTAGAGCCGATGATTCAGGGACTGAGTCAGGAGGCGTTTTGTTGGACGAGTCGGAGTAGAACCTGAGTGTGGGGCGACTGGAAGCGGCGAGTGAGGCGCGGAAGGAATTGGGGATTGTGGGGTTGGGGTGAGGAGAAGGGTGAAGGAGATAGCGAGTGCAGAGACTGGCATTTCTTAGTAGAGATCTTCTCATGATTTTTCTTCTTCTTTTTAGGGTTTTAGATTTCGGGGTTTCTCATTTCTGTTCTTAGTTTACTGAAGAGACGACACCGTCCGCGCCCTATTTGGTTTCGCCTAATACTGCCTTCATAATTTTGTGTTTTTTTTTTTGGTAGAAATGATGCATAAATGGTCCGACACATTAACAGGCTATATAAATAAATGGAGTAAATTATAAATTAGTCCCTCTTTTTTCAAGAAACAAATTAATTAGTTCTCCTAGTTTTAAAATCTAATTATTTAATCTTTTTAATTTGTATTGATCACGATTAATTTAATATTTTTTTTACTTTATAACAAGTATCATTTGTTCTTCAATTTTTTAAAAATTATAACTTTTTTTCTTTTTTATTTCTTAAAAAAAATCCAAATAAATTAAAAAATAACAAAAATGAATAAATGATTGAGTTTTGAAACAAAGAGACTAATTAATTTATTTCTCAAAACGTGAGGGATTAATTTATAATTTACTCCTAAATATAATGACACAATAATCAACATATTTTACTGGTATGTTTTTCAACGTATTTATCGTTAGTTTCTTTTTCTTTTTTCTTTTTTCTTTTTTTCTTTTTTTGAAATGAATGGCAATTGGAATTTATGTTTGTCAGAATTCCAAACAAAATCAAAAAGAATTTAGTCTTAGTTTACGAAAAGTTGGCTCAATAATAAGCTTACTATTAAAACAAAAACTAATAAAAATAAAAACTTGTATGAAAATCCATGATTACACAAAATCTATTTATCATTATGCAACCGAACTTAAATTAACCAAATGGAATAGGGTTTTTACTAAAAGTTTGGCCATTCTTTTATTCTTCCATTCCATTAGGACTCTCATATTAAAAGTTTAGAATCCATGAATTTGGGTCTCAACCTAGTAATACCATAAGTTTTATGGCGTAGCTCCTGTAATTATCAATGGTTATAACATAAGAGAGGTAAAAAGTCAAAAATTAACATTCAAACTCACTAAAATTAGAATATATCATTAATTGGATCCAACGAACAATGTAAATGGATCACCATATCATTTTATCTCTCATATTTGTTTCTTTCTCTCTCATAAAAGACTTGGTGTAACTATAGATAATCTATTGATAACTACCGATAATCTCTCTTATAGGTAATTATTGATAATCTCTTTTATATTTGTCTTTTTTCTCTTATAAAAGACTTGTATAACTATAAGAAAATAATATTGATAATTACAATTGTTGTATGATAAAATTTTTCAAATAATACCAATATGGGTTAAGTAGACAAAAGAAGATAAAGAGGCGAGAAAAGAGATGAGAAGAAAAAGATAAATTATGTTATGTTGTTGTATATTCCATTACATTTTTGTTTTTCACCTTTTATACTAGATCATCTTAATTGACAACTACTAGGAATCTACTAGCATTAAGGGTGTCAGCCCGGATGCACATTAAGACTCAATGACATTAACTCAAATCCAGCTCAAACATTAGTTAGCCCATATCATACATAACTGGTAAAATCCCTATTTCCCAAATCAACTAGGTTTCATGTCTAATCCCATTTTCATTCCTTCGAACGTATCATTTCCTCCTCATTTGAACTCGCCATTGTCTTTGAAAAAGAATGCTAGAAAATGTTTGTTAATCTCCTCAATGAATTTTCAAATGGTTTCTTTTGGTGACATATCTCGCCAACGGATCGGCCATTGAACAAGTAGCTCGGTTCCTTTGTTTGATTATACATCTATCAATTACTCGTCAAAGGTTGAGATGGGAAATTATGATGTAATTCGAAAAGGAGTTTGTTCATCAAATGAGACCCAATAAATTTCTTACAAAGGGAGACATGAAACACTAGGTGGATGGAAGCAGTGGAAGGTAATTTCAATCCAAAAGCTATCCTTCCCATTTTGTCTTCTATCATGAAAGGTTCATAATATTTGACATAAAGTTTATAAAAATTTCATTTGACCATCGAATCTTGTTTGTATGGCTACAATCTCAAATAGATCTTATCACCAATCTCAAATTGGCATTTTGTTTGATGTTTATTCGAGAGCTGCACTATTCGATTCTTTGGTCGTCGAAGGTTCCGCTTCAAATATTGGAGCATAGCCTCACTAGCGAGTAAGGTTAAAATGCATGGCTTCTATTTGGAAATTCTTTAGAAAATGGGTTTTACCCATATCGAGACCTTTCAAAAATATTTGATGGACCTAAGTTTTTTCTATATAATTTAAAAGTTTTACTCTTATGTAATTGTTGTTTCATATCTTAATACGTCACTTAAGCACACATGGGAAGCTCTAGCAAATAATAGTTTGCCACGTGCTTGTCATATGTCATGATGTGCCTAAATTGGGTTTTAATGAAAATAAATTTTTTTTATGAATTTTAAATAACTAAAAAATAATAAACCTAAAAATAGGTTAGAAAAATACAATTCAACTATTACCCACTAAAACTAAAAATCCCCTTCTCTTTTCTATTCATTTTAGTTTTTTTCTCTTTCCTCCTTCTTCGATATGCAATCAAAAGTGACAATCCTTAATTCCTAAATTTCAAACTCTCATATCCAATCCCTAATTTCTCAATTATAAACCCTAATAAGCATTTCCTATTAACCTTTCCTTTATCTTTATCTTTCCGTTGCATTTTCTAATCCTTAATTTTCAAATCGCAATTCCAAAAAAAAATGACTTGGTTATCGACATCCTCTTTCTCTTTCGAGCGTTCATCATTTTTTGCTCTCAATGATGAAGAATTACAATGTAATAAGAAAGAACTTACAATTTCATGTTACTATGACATGAAAACAAATAAGGCAAGTGTCTTGGAGTGATGACCACCTAGGTGTAAAGTTTTATATTTGTGCACTTCGATTCAAAGCTAAAGGCAAAAAAGATGTTGGGTGTGATTTTAAAGTGTGGTTCTAGGATGAGTTAAATGGTAGAGCTAAAGATATTGTTTTGGGTTTGCAAAATTACCAACAAGAAATTCATATTGAGAACTCAAGATTGATTTCGGATAATGTTAGATTGAATGAAGAGATTACTATGTTAAGAAGTGATAATGAAGAATTGCTAATTGAATTGGAGACTACGAAAATTGAGAACAATGCTTACAATGAGCAAAAATAGAAAGAGAAAGAGGTTCTATTATTGGAGATTGAAGATTTGAAGTTGAGTTGTGCTAATTTAATGTTGTTCAAATCTAGAATTAGTAGTGTTTTCAAGCTATTTTATATAATGATTATTATTGTGATTGTAATATTTTATGTTTAAGTATATGGAATGGACAACAATTCCTTGCCTTGTGATTGTATTCTGAAACTATAATTTGTAAAGTTATGTGCATTTTGTAAGTATTATCGGTGACTAGGTAATTGATAAGTGAGTAATTTTTTTTACGTGTAAAGAATAGACATGTTTTTAAGCTAGTAAAATTTGCATGTTTTCATTCTAGGTTGTTTTAACAAACTTTGAAAATATGCAAGTTTAATCAAATGAAATAATTGTTGTTTCACACAAACTCGTCAAAATGTGTAGATTGTATTTTAGAATATCATAAGCTAAAAAATTACATGTTCTTAACTCGTTAAACATTCTTTATCAACTCATGACATATTATACGTTCTTTAACGACATCTAAAAAGTTAATAACACGAAGCTAATATTGAACCTTGAAAACGTTACATAATAAGCAAATAACATAAAGTCCGTCATTATGTAAAAATCTCGAATGATACCCTAAATAACTTTTTTTTCCCTAATACTTGCTCTTGTTACCCTCCTACCTTGGGAGTTTGATCTAGTTGCCATCCTTCTTTTTCAAAACTTTCAATAACCTTCTCCTTGATATTCTACCTGTTCCATCAACATCATTTGTTTCCTTCTATTAACTTTGTCCATCCTCCTTCTCCTTCTACTTGCCCTTGTTATTCTTAGGTCCATCATTATTTTTTTCCTCTTCGTAGATGTAGCTCTAATATTTTGCTTTCCCCTCCTCTAAAATCAAATAAACAATTCCAAATAAACAAATAATTGATGACGAGTTCTACCAATTCTAGAACCAATTCAAAATAAATAAATAAAAAATCATTTATACCTGATTTATGGTGATAGGTTCCACCATAACGGAACCAATTCCGAAATAGGTCCATCAACCTTCTCCTTCTTCTTGCCCTTGTTACTCATAGACATATCATCATCTCTTTTCTTCTTGTTAGAAAAAAGTAGCTTCAAACTTTTGTTTTTCCTTCTTCTAATACCAAATAAACCAATAAATATAAACAATGCTTAGAATTAAATTGAAGCAAAAGGACTCGTAAAAATTAAAAAAATAATCATTTATACTCGACCAATGGTGATAGGTTCCACCATAAGAGAAGCTGATCCGTAAATAGGTCCACCAACCTTCTTCTTCTCATTGCCCTTGTTACTTGTAGACATATCCTTATTTCTTTTCCTCTTATCAATTGAAGTAGCTCCAACCTTCTATTTCCCTTTCCTCTAATACCAAATAAAAAAACAAATATAAATAATGTACCATAATTAAATTGAAGCAAAAAAAACTATAAAAATAAGTAAAAATAATCATTTTTACCTAACCAATTATGACATGATTCTCTTATAACGGAACCAAAGTCTAAAATAAGTTCAATTGGACCTTATCCAACCTCAATATTAGATGGTCCAAGTAGATCCATTACCACCATCATCAATCTTCACGTGAGAGTGATAAATGTAAACAAAAAAATAGAAACACAAATACACAAACACAAATAGGTTCTACAATTAAAAATACTAACCTTCTTATTCTTGGGATTCTCGGGACATGTGTCTATTATATCCTTTCTTGAAATAGATTTTATAAGTCATCCTCTTTTTATTTCTTGACATTTTAGTTCCATTAAATGATTCTCGTGATTTAAAACATCTTTTCTTCTTTTTCCTTTCAAGTTGTTTCACTATCTTTGGAGGTAGTACCTCGT